CCATGCCCCCGGCTAGGGCTCGAGTCCGGACTACTCGATCCGGAGTGGAGCGCACTAACCATAAGGCCACTGCCCCTCCTATTTCATGATATTTACCGATAGCTTATTGGTTTTTATCCAGGTATTAATACATTCAAGTTCCTCGTTAAGAATTTAAGTGACCGACATCCGAATGCGAACAGGATATACTATAATGTCAGCGGACAGGAATATCTGTGCATACACATTTTCGGGCCAAATAGAGGCTGTTGTTTATATTGTTTTGCTACAGAGTGAGTCATCTTCTTTGCAAACGAAGTTTGTGATTTTCGCATATTGATGACCCATAGTGATAAATATGCGCACCAATGATTTTGAAAGCTGGACCCCCCTCTGATTAGCCACCCCCCTCTTATAAGCCCCCTCCCTCTTTAGAGGTAGAAATTTATCAAGCCTCCCCCCTCTATTAAGCCACCACTCCTCCCCACAAAAAAAAAAACAAAGAATTCAAAATAACCCTTCATGTCAGTAAGTACGATAAATTTATTCAAATATTGTAATTTTAGTTTGTCATTTAAAACTGATTATGGTGATTGATGTTTGATAGATGTTACCATGTTAGCATCGATAAAATGCGGCATACGAAAATTACAGAGCGATGCTAAAAATATAACATGGCTAGCCAAGGTCCATTGAGAGAATTAGATCATAAAATTGAGTTCTTTATTATCGGCTCCTTGACTTCCAGCTTCATGTGCTTAAGTTTTTCCACTTTTTGCTCTAAATTTTGGGCTAAATTAATAAACCCTCCCTCTAATAAGCCACTCCCCCCCCCCCCCTGGATTAAATAAGCCCCCAGGGGGCTTATTAGAGGATTTACGGTGCTTATCGCGGATTTCTTTGTGATAGTGATATCCTAAAGAATGACCAAGTATGGCAGAAATATTTAATGAAGTAGAATCGGGAGTGCTAGGCACCTTTTGGTGCAGTTTCCTAAGTCAACTTCAAACGTAATGCTGTCAGTATGGTTTGCTGTATTGCTACTGCACTGGATGATAACAGAAGATCTTGTAAAGTAAATTCTACTTCATTAATAATTTCTGCCATACTTGGTCATTCTTTAGGATATCACTATCGCAAAGAAATCCGCGATGAGCACCGTAAATCCTCTAATAAGCCCCCTGGGGGCTTATTTACCCCAGGTACTTTGGGGGGGCTGGCTTATTGAAGGGGGGGCTTCTTAATTTAAAGTGGAAAAACTTAAGCACATGAAGCTGGAAGTCAAGCAGCCGATAATAAAGAACTCAATTTTATGATCTAATTCTCTCAATGGACCTTTTGGGGCAGTTTCCTAAGTCAACTTTAAACGTCAGTATGATTTGCTGTATTGCTACTGCACTGGAGGATAACAGAAGATCTTGTAACTTGAGTGCACCGATGTATCTTCCGAAAACCCAATGGAATTTTTCTGCCTATGCCTTTGGGTCATGATCCCAGGTCAAGGCGTGTTCAGCCTTCTTTACCTAGGTATTTAAAGGTTGATATCGTGAGGGTTTGAGAACACCAGTTTGGTGTGTATGGCCTGGTACCAGCGTAAAGCAGTGATTAAGAGTCCATTTTCGGGCACCTGCTTTAATCGATGAAAGCAGGCCGGGCCTGGATCGGCACAACTTGTAGTAATAATAATAACAATAATAATAATAATAATAATAATAATAATAATTTATTAATTTATAGTCCTCTCTTTAACATGTAATGATCAAAAGCGCATAAGCCTGAGGTTTCTCAGTGCAAATTATTGATCTTATTGTCAGACTTATTAATAGTCTGCAAGTGTAATGATGCACCATTATGTATTTTTATCTTGATGTTTCCTTAAAAATCTTTCGTCCGTTGATAGAAGTTTTTATTACGATATCTTAGTTTGTGAGTGCAGTTATATTGTATTTTTTTTTTTCAAGAGAAATGTTTGTTTTCCGTGAAATGTGATCGTCCGGGTGAGAGCATAGTACTAAAGGGAATGCTCTTGGTTACAATAACTGATCTCTGACAAGTCTGAGCTAGAGACTCTGGGGAGGACTTCCACCCATGGTGTCGAAAGGACAGTAATTTCCACTGAAAGCGATCCTCTCTTAGGACTCCTCTTACCTGGACGATCAGATTAGATGATTTAATGTTCCGAGGATGAAATACAAATAATGATCTCTGCAGGGGAGCTGCAGCCAAAGAGATTGTAGAATATAAGCTCTTCCCCTCGCCCTTTCTGCAAAATTTATGCGGTCTTCCCTTAAAAGTCAGTAGACTTACAATTTCAGAACTTTCTTATTTGCTCATGATTTATAGTTTGCTCAAAATTTATTTTCTTCAGTTGTATAAGCACTTAGCTTAAGGATCGTCTATGTTTTTGTCAAGTTGTTGGTGTTTGGCAAAAGTAATATGTTCAGGTCTTCGTCTTTCGATCTTTATAAAATCTCTAGCTTCTTTGCGATCGCAACAAAGACATTACTTTTCATCTCACTTTAAGACTTGTTAATTGTTATTATTGTTAACTATATTCTGGATTTTCGGGACACATGTTTGACAAGAGCTAGCAAATATGAATATTTCATATTCAAAGCTGAAGTCAAACTTTAAGGCCAGCAACTCTATATCAGAAAGGTTTTTCTTCTAAGTGTTTATAGTTTTCAAATCATATGCGCTCTGCTAGAAAGCAGGCCCACACCTGCCCTCCTTCCAGTCTTTACACCCCATCACTGTGAATGAAATTCCACACTCGTTGGCACAAACAGGCATCCTCAGGAATAAGAAAGATGGTAATTTTTGAGCTCGGTAAAGGAATTTTGAAAGATGTTTTTCGCCTTTTCAAGGGTGTGAAACAAGGAAAACATTCTGAGTCCCCCTGAGGAATCCACCCTCAGACCTTCGGATTCCGCGCTCCGATGCTCTACCACTCGGCCATTGAGACTCTTTGCTGAGCAAGTGACGCTAGTGACAAGACGAAAAACATCTTTCTATACATATCTGTTTCTCTACCGATCTCAAAACTTATCATCTTTCTTACCCTTTACAAAACGTGACGCCATCGACATTGCTGATTCTAGCAGTGTGCAAGACGCGTGTCATCCATGAACTTCGTAATGAGCGTTGCTCATATATAGGCATCCTTAATTTACACAAATACCAACACTTGTGACGGAGAGCACCATAGGACTTCATGAAACCCTTCGTGTCAGTGTAAAATTAAATTTGGTACTATGCTGACAAATTCGGTCAAGCAGCTGGCTTGGTGGGACTTTATTCACGACATTTGAGGATCGCGGTCCACGACAGGGGCGCAACCAAGATTTTTGAAAGGGGTTGGGGTGGTCGCACTGTATAAAACAGAGGCCAGGTTGTCATGTCCACCTCCACGGCGTGCTCCACTCAATTTGTCAAAAAAGGGTTCTAAAGGGGGGTGGTCACAGGCACCCTAGGACCCCCTTGGTACTCCCTTGTACGCGGTCTCCAAGGAGCAGATACCAAGTCACCCTCCAAGTTTCAAAAAAAAACTCTCAGGAATGAGACCGAGCTGAAGAGTTTTACCAACATCATGGTGAAAATTTCATTGATTGCAGCTAATTTACGTTTCCTTCTGCATTCTTATGTCTAAGGTCCTGCTTAATTTTTTCTTTTTCCGTTTCTCTTTAAGCGAATGATCAGTTCCTGACGAGCTATTTAGTAAATAAACCCCTTCGGGCGGCTGGTATGTCGGCTGATAATGTCTGAGAGATTGTCCGAGTAATGAATATTTAATTTTGAGGACAATCTCTCAGCCAAGGACATTATCAGCCGACATACCAGAAAGCCAGAACGGGGTTTATTTATTTTATAACCCTCCCATTAATTTTCACATCGCAATTAAACTGCGCTTAAACGCAGTAAAAAAGCCGGTGGTGATCTGATGGCGAATTCGCGTGATTGACGCAAGCAAGCGAAAAAAAAAGACGAGTTTGGTTTCCTTCCATGTAAATAGGAGAACGGAAAATGTAGCGACCGCCTTTACCGATTAATAGAGGGACACGAGAAAACTGTAGTGAAGCAACCACAAGTCTAACAAAATCAGGCTGGTCCGTTTATTTAAGGCTTGATAGACGATAACTTGATAAACACGAACTAAAGATTAACAACAGTTCGATCGAAATTCAACCATACTGACCGTCAAAGACTGTTAGGTTCCAACACAAAACACGAGCGTGTTCCTCCTTAAATTCTAGCTAAATTAAGATTTTTGTCACGGTCCTAAAGCGGTTCAGAGTCTACGTGCTAATCCAAAACACCCGTATAAAGAGATCACGTGACGCAACAAAACTGAAGCTGAGAAGGCGTTACAGAAAAGTTGAAACTCTTGTGTTAACTATATTTCTTTTTCACGGAAAAATCGGAGGACAAATGTCGACGCGGACGGGTGTTATTGCTTGATAACTGTCCTGTGATTTTGCACCACGTGACGTAAAGTAACCAATAAAATCGCGCCAAAATTAATGGGTGGGTTATAAAAAATAATAACCTATTTGCTCTTTCTAGCTATTGTTCTACAAGGCAACAGAATAGAGTATTTGTCTTTTAATTTTGTGAAGGTACATACGGGTTTCAGTTCCTCTGAGTAATATCAGGCAGGCTTGATGATCAGTCGTCCCAAGCTACTTTAGGGGTATCGGGTTCCGGTAAATAAAGGAATTAACCCGGCATCTAAACCAAATAATATGTGTACAGGTCCTTATACTTTATCCTTGTGTCTCTTGTGGTATTCAACCTAAAGAAACGGCGGCATGACAGTTTTCAACAAGAATAGCTTTCGTTAGAGTACCTACAGAAGCACTTCGCGCGAGAAGAAAAGCTTTTAACTTGGAAACTTTGAAATTGTTTAAACTTTCACGACCACTCGCCAGCCGACTTGGACGTGCCTGACTGCCGTCAACGAGCCCATGGTGCAGTGGGATGATCACAGAGTTCGATTCGCCCGTGATGGCTGCTGGGCCGTTTTCCGGGTATTTCTGGATGTGCGCACGAAAGAATTCCATCTGCACCCTGTCCTAATTGGAGATATTTAAATTTTTAAACCTGAATAGTTGAAGCATAAACAACTGGTTTTTTCTACGCAGCTTAGAAAATTGTCCAAAAGCTAGTACAGGGTGGCACTTCACACTGCTTTCTTCACGTTGGGAGACCTCGAGGAAGCAAAGCAACTGGTAAGTCTCTACTCTTAGCAACCGAGGGCTGATCGTGATATTTTTAATTGTTTGAAGAACATAAATGGATTATCTGAGTCAGTTGTTACTCGACTTTATATTAAGATGGCTTCTTTTATGGCCACAGAAGCCAAAAACCCGGAAGTACCTTAATGGTCTGTCTAAGAGTAAATTACACCACAATTTACGCTTTCGTTTTCAGTTTTATTCTGTCGGTTTGTTCAAGTTAAGGAGTTATAAAGTTTTACAGAGTCAAAAATTTAAATAAGTAATCGTACAGCCATCGTTGTACCAATGGATTTAAAGGGCTTCTGGTAATACTGAAATCGGACAATGGCTGATCTATCTCTGGGTTTGAGTGGTTCAATGTTTCAATTACTGTTGTGTGTGGAAACTGGACAAGAGTGATACTTAAGTTTTATTTCACTGAATTGATTCTTTGATCTTTGCAATTCTTGCATTTACTTAAAATTCTTGAAGCAAAAGTCAAAATGTTCGACCCTAACATTGAAGAAAGCAGAATATGTGTTTTTTCACCATACAATCCTCAGGGAACAGTCATTATTTATGTGGGGTGGGGTGGGGGGGGGGCAGGAAAAAAGAAAGAAGCAGGGTCAAGGCTATTTCAGATTGGCAAGAGCGGGGAGGCTATTTAACTTTTTATAAAGAAGTTAAATAGGAGTAACTACTGAATAAAGAAGGTGGGTCACTTGCTATTTACATGGTCTGGAGAAGGGGGGCTTACAGAAATTTTGATCTTTCTGACATATTCCCCATTCCCCCTTTATAAATTATGATGGGTCACCAGGAGCCATTACCCATTAATGGGCTCCTGTGAGTCACCTATGTAGAGCAGGGAGCTAACTAACATGAATATCAATATGGCATGTATCAAGTAAATTTATGGTTCTAAGCTAGTATAATACTAGGGGTGATACAACCCTGCACCTCTGTTATAGTAGGACCACAGGACAATCCTTTGTTCACCTTTTTGCAGACTGATTCCCAGTTAAAAATTGAAAAATTACTATGGTAACCATAGGTGTGCTTTGTTGCTGTCATAAAGCTTAAGTTTTCCTTCTTTGTGTTGTTCCTATATGACTTGCTTTTAAAAACATGTATTTCCTCTATTTTCAGCCATTGTTAAGATTAGAGAAATGGAAGCTGATGCATTACGAGAGCTACTCAGAGGAAGAGACTTGATATTCACATGCACGGTTTGATTCTTTTTATTTTAATTATCAGTTTTATTGTTATTATTATTATCATCATTAAACTTATTTTTGTTTCTATTATTTTAATTGTCATAAATATTAGTATATCTCACCCCATGAATCAAATAATTCCTTTATAACATGGTTTTAAAGTATTTGGGTTATTATCCTTTGGATATTGCTATAATGATAAAACTGTGGTTGATTTAATAGTCCTTTTTGCAGTTGTGGGCTTGCTGGCTAAGCCTTTGAACAGGAGTGAGGCTTAGAGTGACCTTGTTATGATAGAGATGTTGCTGCTTTGCAAATGCAAATTTCTTTGTTATCATGCTAACTAGATACAGGTCTCTATCACAACAGGGTCACCCTTAGCCTCACTCCTGTTCAAAGGCTTGGCCACCAAGCCCACAACTGTAAAAGGGACTATTACAATGAGATGAATTAAGTGCTTCGTGCTGGTATAATCGCACAATTCCAATTCGAGTGTCGTATAAATATGAACATGGGATTTCCTCAAAGACCAAAACATATACAATCAAAGCTTGCAAATGTTATTGTGCAATTGGTCAAAACAGTAGAGTTTAATCAAAACAGCAAATCTTTAATGCTTTTGAAGTTTTAAGCCACACAAAAGTTAAAAGCCCATTCAAATGGTTTGGTAGCACCTTTTTTTTCACTGAATCAACCATTTATGTACAGTTTAGAATCCTTACCTCTCTTCAACATTGAGTCAAGTGTAAATGGAATCTCTCTCTCCAATTGAACTGACAAAATTGTCACATATACTTTATTAGATGTATATTAATTGTACAGTATTGGGTGTTGAGGTAAACATAAGTATACAGTGGGTAGATGTGCCATTGAACAACAGAACCTTCAAGCGAAATTGGTAATAACAATATCCTTGATGATGATATAATGATAATAGTGATCACAACAAAAGAAAGAATAAAAGTGGCTGAGAGCCACTGAACTTGCAAAATTAACTATTGAGGGGTGAGATGCAGAAGTCAATGTAAAGAAATCATATTTTAAAACCTTTTTGTAAGGACAGTCAGTATATGCTATCCGTACCTTCCAGTCATTTTCCATGTTAAATTAAGGGATGGATATGCAAATTGAAATAGAGTATGTAATGTAGTGTTCTATACTTACTTGGTGCTCTTTACAATAATCTGATCAAGATTCCTTAATTTACTAAGAGTGATGCAAGATTGAAGTTAATTAAATATTCATTTTAAAGTTTCTAGGGTGTAAAGATGTGGTGATGGGACCAGATGTGAAAGGTGTGGGTGCCCAGGTTTTAAAGAAATTAATGGTAATACTCCCCTGAAAATTTTACATGTTTAAGTGATAACCTCTTTGATTTACACTATTATTTCCCGTTGATTATGTAGCTATTTTTCAGGAAGTGGGTTGTTCTCTGTTACTGTAAGTGACAGTTTGTCGGCCTGACAAGAAGGCACAATATGCATCAGAGTCAAGATCATTTCTGATTGCATGATTGTGCTGTGCAGATGGCCAATTCTTTATAAATTCAATGCAGATTTTATTGGCTAATATATAGTAGATTCAGTAACACAAAGTGTGTTAAATTTGGTACTTGAACAGAACTTAAGATCTGTAAATGTAATTTTATCTATTCCCGTAATATATATGTAAACACACTGTAATTCATAATTTTATGCCACCGTGTGTGTGTAGTTTTTAATAAACCAAACCATCACCATCATCTTATTATAATTACAGTTAGCTGATGAATATATGGTGAATCCCTTAACAGTAACAACTTACACTTTTTATAATAGTGTTATTCAAGCAAGGTGTCTTAAAATGGATTTATAATTGATTCTTTTGTGGGTTGGTGTTTCAACACAACACACAACCGCCTCCTGGTTAGCTCAATTGGTTAGAGCGCCGGATTGTGTTGTGCGGGAGGTCGAGGGTTCAAGCCCCGGCCGGACCAATACTCATGGTCTTAAAATAACTGAGGAGAATTTGCTACCTTTCTATAACATCAATGAAATGGTTAGATATTCTAGTCTTCTCGGATAAGGACGAATAAATGGAGGTCCCGTCTCCTGCAGGGTTAGGGGTAGGAGACGTTAATTTCCCACACACGAGATTACTGTGTGATGGATGTCCTCCCCTGGGGTGGGATGTGTGGGGGAAAAGGTGAGGTCGTTACATGGACTAAAGCGGCTGCCAGAGACGCCTGATAATGCTGACGTCCGATCTCAACCTTAGTAACACTGTAAACCTTAGCAATTCAGCCTATGCTGCTATTAAGGTATCGAATCAATCACTTTCACTTTCGCTTTCACCTCCTTCAAAATATGACATCATTCATATGCTCATCAATTTTTTCTCAATTATAATTACTTAAAATGCTTGATAGGATCAATTTTTAAGTTACAAACCAGTCTGATAATAATAAATAATGCTGCTGTAAATTGAAATCAACTTTTTTTGATACAGGCAAGACAACCAATATATTTTCGTGATGGGTGCAAATTCATAGAAGGTTATAAAGTACAAATCAACTTGAAAAATGTCAGGATGGAGAACCTATCCTCTCAAGTAAGAGTGCAGAAATTAGAATTTGCTTATGTATGATTTTTATCAAGAAAATTTAAACCAGTTCTCGATGCAATCACAATTTTTTAGAGTCTATCTATTTCCTCAGAATTTGTGCTGCAAAGTCTCTTGTTTTGATTATCTCACAAAGTGATCAGAAGAACATATTTTAGTTCTCTATAGAGAATCTATGTGTATTTTCAAGTTTTTTCTTGGTTTAATGTATTTTTTCATAGAAGTATGAACACTCCATCAACGGAATATCATTCATTACTGGACACCCAGCTGACAAAACAATATTTGGCTATTATGTGCGCAGTCAACCTTGCCCCACTGGATATAAGTGCTTTGCTGTTAAGTCCAACCAGGTAAGTGAAACTGAAGAAGCCTTGTGCTAATGTAGCTGAATTATTAGGAATTCATTTAGCCTACTTATTCATGGATGACTTTACCTTGAAAATCTTGTCTTCTTTCAAAACAATATGCAAGACCAGGCTTTGGAAGTCATAGGCTGGGGTTCTCTCATCAGAACCAATAAAGGTTACCCAGTTATACAAGGGTTAGGGTAAAGAGAGCCAGGTTGTCAAAGGAAATTGATTTGTTCTATTATCGCTCTGTTCTGTACTCAGGTTAAGAATGAGTCTGTAAGAATAAAACATCTTGGGGAATGAAAAATATCAGCCCCACTTCAAATTTTGCATGTAGTTAGGCACTCAGGGGGAATATACAAACATGCCCTTTTTAAAGGTTACAGCTCTCTTGTTTCCATGGCAACGACGGATGCTTGTTCGAGGCCTGGGGCCTCATTTTCATACAAAAACATGGCAAAAAAGTGTTAAATGTTTATTTCTCTAGCTACATACAACATTACAAAGTGGTATTTCTACCATACATAGTGACATCATTTATCTTCACCTTGATCAACCTTCATGGAGGACTATTCGACATAACTACAAATATATACCTCAAATCATGTAAAACCCAGTTGTAACCATAGCGATTTGTACAACTCGCGTGAAAACCATCACCCCATGAAGGCTGATCAATTTTTTTTCAAAGATGACAGCCTGAGGCGAGATTTCTCTTCGGGTTGTTGCTCATATCATACTTCAATTTAATGACTGAGGATGATTACAAAGGTAAAATATTACAAACGTATTCGCCATCTTGAAAATGACGTCACAAGCCTATCCTGGACATCTTTTTCTTTTCTACAGCTTTTCCTTTTGACCCCATGTCTTAGAGGTAAAATTCTTGTCTTCGCACAAACACCCTTAAGGCATCATACAGATTATAGCTTGAAGGCTCGCAAGTGCCTGTCTCGGTGAATTGTTAGCTTTTGACATAGTTCGTAACAAGTCTAATATTTTTACTCTTAACAGGCAACGCTAATCGTTAAAATCTTGAGGAAAGTTGTGGAAGTTGCGAATAATACCAGAAAAGAGGCGGGATCATCAAAGGAGCGCCCAGGCAGGTTATCTCAAAAGACGAAAGGTATGTACTTCTGAGCTATTGTAAATAATGTAGATCACTGGCGGCCCGAGCTCCAGTTGTGATATCATCTTGCGCAATAATAGTCATGGCGGAATTATAAGAGTTTGTATGGGAAGTTATATTTACGACCGCTCTAATGAATAAAAAAGTACATCGAATTCTCAATAAAAATATCTCACCTTACTTCCACAGCGTATTGCTTGTTACCTGACCGCTTACTTTGATGAAAAGAACTTATTTTAGCGAGTTGTCCATTTCGAGGTTTTCAACGTACATAAGAACACAGGTAGTCTCCTCTCGCAGCCGTCCTTTGTCTCGGGATCCCTGTGTCTCCCTCCCCAACAAAGGGAGACACAGGGATCCCGAGACAAAGAACGGCTGCGAGAGGAGTCTAGAACACAGGCGGCCCAAGCGTAATGTGTGTGATTTGGGGTCTAAAGTTCATTAACGGCAATAACTAACATATTAACATCGAATTTTAAGCGTATGTGTGGGCCGTTAAAAAAAGGAAAAATTATACAGAAAGTTAAGAAAAAATTTGAAAGGATAATAAAAGCGAGGAATACGTGTGAAGTCTCCTTACCTTTTTTCCTTAGCCGCTTTGTATCTAACGGTTGTTTTAACGCTGTGTGGCGACTTTCTTTGTAACGCGTGCGGTGTCATCAAAAGTTATAAAGAAAATTAATAAAAAATTAAAAAGGATAATAAAAGCGAGGAATATATCGTATGAGGTCTCCTTGCCTTTTTTCTGGAGCTGCTTTGTCGTTTACGGTCCTTTTAACGCTGTTATGGCGATTTTTTTTGTAACGCATGTGGTGCTACCAGTCAACTCTGTATAAAAAAATTCAAGGCTGGAAACTTCAACCGGTCCCGAACACCAACCATCGTCACTCGAGAGCCGATAAATTCCAGAAAAGTCGACTGATCTCCCTCAAATTTCCATCCGCGAAAGTTTTTCAAATTCCGCTGCATTGAGCCGAGAGCCGCTCCGTCTTACCACCCATTAATTCAGAATATAGCTCAGTTGGTTAGTGCGCCGGATTGTGTTGTGCGGGAGGTCGAGGTTCGAGCCCCGGCCGGACCAATACTCAAGGTCTTAAAATAACTGAGGAGAATTTGCTACCTTTCTATAACAAGGAATGGATAGATATTCTAGTCTTCTCGGATAAGGACGAATAAATGGAGGTCCCGTCTCCTGCAGGGTTAGGGGTAGGAGACGTTAATTTCCCACGCACGAGATTACTGTGTGGTGGATGTCCTCCCCTGGGTGGGATGGGTGGGTGTTGGCCCTGAAAAGACCCTATGGGGAGTGATCAATTAACCTATGTATGTACGTATTCTGGCTAAATCGCTTTGTAAGTACACGTAATCCTTTTCCCCTTACTACGGGATTCAAATATCAAAGCGCATCTGACCAAATAAAAGACTCTCCAGGGAATCGTTACGAAGGCGGTTAAGTTTGCCCTTTTGTCAAACAATACCGTCTGTAGAGTCGTGCGTGTAATTCGACTCGATGCACTTTGATATTCGAATCCCGTAGTAAGGGCAAAAGGATTACGGGCACCAACAAAGCGATCTAGCCAGAATGGATGGTAAAACGGAGCGGCTCTCGGATCAATTCGGCGGAATTTGGAAACTTTTGCTCCTGGAACGGGTAGGTAATAGCTAAGCGCTCTCGCGGGTGGAAATTTGAGGGAGATCGGTGGACTTTTGTGGAATTTATCGGCCTTAGAGTGGCGACGGTTGGTGTTCGGGACCGGTTGAAGTAAGCGGTCAGATAACAAGCGATCCGCTGTGGAAGTAAGGTGAGGTATTTTCATTGAAAATTTGATGTCTATTTTTATTCATTAGAGCGGTCGTAAATATTCGCATACAAACTCTTATAATTCCGCCATGACTGTTGTTGCGCAAGATGATCATCTCACAGCTGGAGCTTGGGCCGCCTTTGTGCAAAATAAATAAATTTGATCTTCCTCGGCACTAGAAGACTGACTTGGTGTTTGGTCGCACACTCCGTTTTGTAGAGATTGAAACGCACCTCTTCGTAATCAGCTCGCTCTTGCGTGGGATTGCCATGAGTGGCGGGGTGTTTATCATCACCATCATAGTCCTCATTGTTGTTTTCATCCGTCTTATTAATCTTATCAACCGCTTGATGAGGCCGCAATCCTTTACTTTTCGTAAGGGCGTCTTACCACTTAAGTGCTCCTTAAGAGGCATGTCTTAAAGTTCACGATTGTTTGTGTTCAATCACAAGTCTGTCAATGCCTAGCGGGCTCTAAAACGCTTGTGCGAGTCCATGTTTTTCTCGTTAGGAACTTAGTTGAAATGCATTTGACGACACTCTCTTAAAGAGGCGACATTTTTCTCATTATTTAATTGTTTATTCCTTGGCAAATTACACTTGCATGGGAAAGAGCGGATTGAGTTCACGCAGATAAACATCTAGATGGATGTTGCTTCAAGCGCCACTTAGTTACTTACTCAAACAACGAGTGACAAACGATAAATTAAAAGCAGATGCGTTCAATTTACTTTTAGTACATGGTGACCTGTACGATCTTGAAGTAAATGACGTAATATTGAAGTTTTTCTTTTAGGTGGCAATGGCATTCGGTCAGTTGATAACCGTTATGGTTTGGAGGTTGGATCTATGGTAGAAGTTCCAAAGGCGAATGTTGTTCTCAGATATGGTGTCGTTCGCTGGATCGGAAGTTTTCCACAAGTGAAGGAAAAGGTGGTTGCAGGCCTGGAATTGGTAAAATAAATAATGAAAGAGACAGCTATTTTAGACAGATAAATTCTAATATTCAAAGATCACAACATCAGTTGACCTACCCATGAGTCTGCAATCAGACGTGAGCAGCATATGGCGACATATGGATCACTTCTTGTAATTTAACCTTACCAAGTTTACATGGTCATGAAAAGACGTCGGTTTAATCTACTTTTACTTGCTTAAATACAGATCATTAACCAGAAACTGTATAAGGGGTTGTTAGAATGTGCTTCGTTTTTTTTTTTAAGGAAGAGGAAGAGTCTGCATGTTTAGATGGAACTTTTCAAACAAAAAGATACTTCACCTGTCCACCAGGAAAAGGATTGTTTGTTTTGTTAAAGCATTGCCGACCAGATTCACGATTAGGTACGTGGTACGCAACAAATTACTCCGCAGAAGAAGACGCCTCTTGCATTGCGTCTTTTATTTTGTGTCCCTTTTCAAAATTGAAAGAGTACCAATGTTAAGACATAGCAGACCTCACATCCCGGCTGTAGTTCTTGAAGAACTATCGATAACTGTAACAGTTACCCCGCCATTTCAAGGCGGGCTCACGAGAATTCAATTAGTGAACGAAAAATAGATACTTTCCACTCCCGTCCAGGCGTGGTCTCTTTATTTTGCTTCTCAACTTACAATGAATTGTTGACTTTTCATCTTGCAAACAGACCAGCGACCGACAGAAGAAAAGGAGCATGAAGGAAATGTTCACAGGCTGGTACGAGAACTGGAGGAGCAGGTAACACATCTACAAGCAGAACTACGAGAGAAAGAGCTGAGAGAGAACAACTTACATGAACAGCTGAAGGAGAAAGAACAACGTGAAGAAAATTTACGAAAACAATTACTTGAGGTGGAGCAGCAGCTGACAAACTTACGAGGACAATTACAAGAGAGAAATGAACAACTAAGGGATGTCACCCAGCAAATGACGATTGTCCGAGGGCAGCTACAAGAAAAATATGAAGAAACTGCTCATTTACAGAATCAATTGGAGGAAAAAGACCAGGAAATTATTGAATTGGAAACAACTCTGTCTACTGCTCAGGATGAGTTACGTGATTATCAACGCCAACAGTCCCCCGAGTGGGTCATTTCACGGGATCGCATTCAACTGACTGGTAAATTTCTCGGCAGAGGAGGCTGGGAAAGTGTTGTCGAAGGCAAATATTGTGGTTGTTCTGTTGCAGTGAAACAGATTCATGAGTTGATTCTCTCTCCTCACAACCTCAAATTATTTGAGCGAGAAATGGAAATTGCCTCAAGATGCCGCCACCCTTGCTTGCTGCAGTTCATCGGAGCTACAAATGACGAAGGGAATCCACTGTTTGTAACAGAGCTGATGGAAACAAGTTTACGCACTCTGTTGGAACAGAGAGCTCTTTCTGAGGTTGAAATCTCTTTTATTTCTCTGGATGTTGCTCGGGCACTAAACTACCTTCACCAAAAGCAACCATCTCCCATTATTCACCGCGACATCAGGAGTGCAAATGTGCTACTCTGCCGACAAGGGGAACACTGGCGAGCCAAAGTGTCAGATTATGGAACTGCCAACTTTATGCAGCAGACCATGACAGTTGCTCCTGGTGCTATGATATATAGTGCCCCTGAAGCATTTACTAAAATTCAAACCGTCAAGGTTAGCTGTAGTTTTTTTTATTGTAGATATGTGTGAATTTCTCGTGCGTGTAGAGATATGAATCACCCCAAACCTAAGGTTTCGCAATTTTACGTGTAACGGACATTGATGTTAATTTTATAAATGTTGTTAAAAGGTCAGGGCTATTTATCGTCACAACATACAACGTACAACATACTCAACTAGTATCGCTTAGATATGGATCGGCAGATTTTGAGTCATTAGACCTAATAAACTCAAGTACTGTGCTGTATTTCTCTTTCATTTTCGTCCTTTATCTTGTTCAGGTTGATGTTTACAGCTTTGGCGTCCTCCTCTGTGAGATGTGCATCCGAGAAATGCCAGATCCAGAAAAGCGTGTGAGGCAAGTTGCTATGGTTAAAAACAAATTGAATCGAGCCCTTATCCGTGGATGTTTGCAATCAGAGCCTGAGGCGAGACCAAGTATACAGGAGATCATTGATGAACTTGAGGAACCTAATTAAAATAGGTTGGTCGGTACAGCTATAAACAATGTAAATGTAATGGTATTTATGTTACAAAGGTCATTTCTGATATAAACACTGTAATGGTAAAGGGTATGTATGTTACAGAGGGACATCTCTTGTGTATGTATCCCCCTAGAATATAAAGACATGATTAGATTGATTTTACTCAAATTAAATTCAAAAATTTATTTTTATACTCAGGATGTAGAAAGGCATGAAATTCCAAAGGAATTGAATGGAAAATAATAGGAATACTGTTAACTGAAGACATTTACCATGTGGGAGATTGTCCTTTTTAAGTAGTGTGAAGAAAGACTTTATGAGCAAACAAGTTTTTTGATTACCTTTTTAGCTACTACAGTAAGGGGATGTCATTTTTATTCCTCAGTTTTAGCTAAACCAATTTGAGTCACTGGCGTGCGATTGGTTAAATGCCCATTATGCCTCTTACCATATGCCTGGCACTTTTAAGGTTATTACGCAGTACTGCACTGAACGTTCTTTCTGCGAATAATTTCACACCCAATTACTGCGCGCACATTTAAAAATTGGAGACTTTTCTTAATGGTCGTTGCTTACCAGAGGTAAATTGTCACCTTCTTCAAACGAGCACGTCGATCTATCATTTTTATTCTCTCCTGAAGTTGGGTAATGACTTTATTCTCGTACATTAAATGTCAGTAGAATTCAATTTTTGAAAACGCAAATTTTGCACGAACTGGTAACTATAGTTTACAAGATATTATGGAAATTATTTGGGTACGTATACTAGGTACCGCTGCTCCTAAACGAAAACTGGGATCTCAATTTTCAATTTCAAAATTTGCATTCCAACACGATAATGTGGAGAATCATGACTTATTACTCCCTGATCATGACTTATTACTCCATAATCATGACTTATTACTCCCTAATCATGATCCATCGCTCCATAAGGATTCAGTCTTGGAACTTTTCAGCATGTAGAGGGCAATTTTTGCCTCTTTATAAGGTCTGTAAGGAAAATATGATTCCGTCCATTTTTAACCCGTTTATTTCTACCCTCCTTGATTATGTTCCTTAAAGAGAGCCAAGTTACATGTGTATACTGTTGTACAGAATTTAACACAGCTCAGGCTACCTACCTCTTTAAGTAATGAGAAGAGGAGGGGAGGGACTGCTACAGTTATTGAAGGTAAAGAAATCTTTCTTGTTCTTTCCTGTTTTGAGTTATTAACTTTGTGTATCAAAATAATGGGGAAGAGAGAGGCATAACTAGTTTGGCGCAAAAAAAATTTTTGTTTGATTTCCCCATTTACCAGCCCTCCCTACAAACAAATAGGGAACACTCTGTTATTGTAAATAACAATCTTGCTCATTCTAACAAACTTCATTGTAGCAATCCCCATAAATGCTTTTAAGTTAAATCAACGGCAGGATTAGTTTGAAAAGTTACAGCTGTAATAGGAATGTTTATAATAGTTGTTTAAAAAGCTACAAATTAAGTAGAAGACTAAGCTATGTTGCAGTAAGTTAATTAAGTGAGGGTAGACTAAGGTATAATACAAAATATTTTAGTTTTCGTAGATAAGTAATAAGATGCCCTGGAGAACAAACCCAGGGTCCTAGATATACTTTTACAAATATGATGTATATGGCATTTCCAGGAAAGATTTTCATTAATGAGTACTCCAAAAAAGTTGACCAACCGTGGTCGACTTAGTAAGAAACCTTCTAGTGACATGCGTATATCGCTATTAATTAGTTTTATTTAGTCTTAAATTCTACATAATTAGTCTTCTTGATATTTAAGTAAAGCCAATTTACGAGCTAAGTGGCTCATCAGGCAGGCACTTAACTCCCGTTTCCGTAGCATGAAGCGACTAGAAACATTCACGCTACTCCCCACTGGATTGAATGTTAGCCCATCGCAGCGTTACCCCCAACATTAAATTCGCTGGTACCTATTTAATTCTCCTGGGTGAAGAGAGGCATTGTGAGAGTAAAGTGTCTTGCCCAATAACACAACACAATGTCCCCGGCCAGGGCTCGAACCTGGACCACACAATCCGGAGTCGAAAGCAGCAGACATAAGGCCATTTCCCCTCTCATTTCTTGATATTTACCCATAGCTTATAGGTTTTAATTCAGGTATTAACATATTCAAGTTTGTCGTCGAAACGGTAGTTAATTGACCGACATCCGAATGAGAATAGGATATACTATTATGTCAGTGGACAGGAATATCTATGTATACATGTTTTTGGGCCAAATATGGGCAATCGTTTATATTATTTTGCTACAGAGTGAGTCATCGTCTTTTCCAAACAGAGTTTGGGATTTATGCGTATTGATGACCCATAGTGATAAATATATACACCAATGATTCTTGAAGCTGGACAATTAAAAGTTTCGCAGATGTGTGTAAATTCATAATGTAGCTTTAGTCGTTCCAAGCAAGGAGAAAGTACTAAGACGTTTCTCTGAAAGTTACACACTATTTTAAAAGCGCCAAGCTTGTCGAAATGTAGTATACCGAATTCGTAATATGGCCCACCTTTTCAACAATAACAGACGCTAAATGGGCACTGGTCTTCAAGTAGGTAATTTTATTCTTTCAAAGTATTTTTATCGTTGAATTTTATAAAGGCAGGGTAGTTTTAAACTAACACGACTGACCAAGTTCTCAGGTTAGAAAATTTAGAAAAGTTGGTTTTATGATCTGAGACACAATTCAATAGTAAGTTTGTGACTCAGTTTAATTAGTGTTCATTCTTTTCCTTCAGTAATTGGTTATGATGATACATAAAATTATGGTTTCCCCAGAGTGTTTCTAAGTTAGCCCACTCAGACTTTTTGAGCTTCCTCCACTTCTTTAGCTTTTTATATCATGGAAAAATATTCCAATAAATATCTTAAGTTGATTTTAAATGATCTCTAATGGCATCTTAAATTAATTTTGCCTTATCCTCGCCCACCAAGTTTGCAAACACAATGAACGTAAGATTATAAACTTACCAACAACATCCTTATCTTGCGAGAAGTTTAATCTGTTTTCTTCGTCTGGGAAGTCGGATCCTGAGAAGAATTCCTGTGACCATTTTCTGTCTGTTTCTCAGTCTTGGCAACAGTCTTCACAACTTTGTAGTTTTTCAAATCGTTAATTACCGCGAGCAAACGAGTTTTGACGCACTTTTGGCGGTAAAATACGCGGGTGTTGGTGGACACGGCGGTCATTCAAGCTCCTTCCTAGTTCCTCAGCGAGAAATTGCATTTATTTTTTTAATTTCGAATACAACAGTATCTCACAAATTGTCTTTCAAGAAAGCACTTCTTGAATCTTTCACCTTTCTGAAAAGAATCCTCTTTCCGCAGGAGCCTCAGATAAGGCTTACAGTCAACCAGTGGTACTCGGGAGCTCCAAGACGTTCGAGGAACGTAGTCTGAAGAAACAAGCCTCAAAATCTCATCCTATGATCTTTTCATCACAGATTTCTTTACGTGAGTGATATCCTAAAGAACGGCTGCGATGTGGATTTCGAGATGATGGGCGAAATGTTCTCTAAATTGCGAACTTTGTTTTCAAAGTGCCTCTGAAAAGTAGAGGCTGGCTCGCAGATGTTTGGACATTTAAAAACTGGAATATCATAACCAACTAGGCGCACAGTTTCAGTTGCAGAATCGGTGCAGTTTTCGATTTTGGAGAGATTCATATAACTGTTTTCCCTGTTTCACCCTACATCAATTGAATGACTAAAACTGTACTGAGTGGCGTGTTCACATTTATCCTCAGGGAATATTGAATGCATCAAAGTAAAAAGGAATAATGGTACTATACATGGTAGAAGTACCAATTTTTATCACACGACTCGGGCATTCAGAGGGCCAATAACTAACATCAACCAATCAAAATGCTCTATTGCCGGTCCAAAATTCTCTAAGTATTGGACCGGCCACTGTCCCGAATGGTTCCGAATGATACCGCACTTGTGTCCCTTTGAACTTTAGTCGTAAAATAACCAAGCTTGCTCGGGACCGTACTGGAAGAATATCGGCCCAAGGTCTTTTTTGTACGGACCAAGCGCAGCTCGGTCCGTACTGTCAAGACCTTGGGCCGATATTCTCCCAGTACGGCCCTCGTGCTTGGTTAATAAGATATATGTATTATAACTGATAAAGGTCTCAAACGGAAACGTTTTTTATTTAACTTTTAGCTTTTATTGAGTATACGTCCTCCTTCGCTCGAAGTTGTCCGTCCTCGTGTGCCACACTACTTCTTCTATTATCTATCGAGGTTTGGACTGCGAATTCTTTTGGAACCTTCTGGCGCAGCTTATTAGGATGAGTCATTGCCCTTGCAATTGCGCATGCTCGCTGGTTTACTCTAGTTTGAGCACTCTGGCATGGCTTAGACGATACCACAAAGGTTGGGTCGTTTGGGGTGACCGTTTCGGTTCTCCCCCATCCTAGCATTAGCACTGCACTGATGAGACCCA